TTCGAGCACCAACACCTGCAAAATAATGTGAAAAATTCGTCAAACACAAAAAAAATACGTCTGTATAAAATTATTAATTGTCTGACCTCTTCAATAAAACTATCGCATAAAATCAGGACTACAGTTAATCACATAGCAACGAAATTGTAAACTTAAACAAAACACAGTCGCGTTCCTCACGCGCACGATTTAATGACGGGTATGTTGAAATTGGAAAAAAAAAATATAAATCTACATTCCATGATAATACCATACCATTCATTCGCTGGCACCTCTCCCGAATATCTTCGCTGAAACTGTTGTTCCTCTTCTTCTTCGCGATGAACTCTTTCGTTGTAGTCCGCGGCTTCTCCCTCGGTAGCAAGGGGTTCGCAACTGTCGTCGTACGGCGCAAATTCAGACAATTCCCCCATCACTTCGTCAACTGTAAAACTTTCTAGACCACTTTCAGATGTGCAGGAAGAGGAATCCGACGGAGATGACATCTTAAACGTCTTGTTAAAAGGCTCTAAACTCACAAACTTTTCCCAAATGCGAATCTTTTGGTTGATGTTTCTACGTCACAGTGCATAACTCACGTGGTCAAACGCACGACCGCTTTGCGGAGGTCTCGCGGGCTATTGCTTTGCGAACTTTGTAATGGCGGACGGTATTTACGCACTTTTCAGTGGGAAATTTTCAGCCCCCGTACGCAAGTATCGTTCCAATTTTTCGCTATTTGTATAATTTTGAACATCTACAAAAGATTTATGTTAAAAAAACTCGGAAACAAAAACAAAAATTTTCGTCGTAGTAGCACTTTAACGATACCTTCCGGAAAACTTTGCTGCAAGCGGCCAAAAAGAAATCTAGAAAATTAACCGACCACGGGAAACAACTTCTACCGCGCCAGTGCCGCGGGAGCTGATTTCAAATGTAATAGTGTTTTATGACACGGAGAGAATTATGGGAAATGATAGGTGGGGGGAGAGGGGGGGGAGGTGGTGGTGCTATTGCATTAATGCACCCAAGTGCTAGTAAGTTGAATGAAATAGGGTTCTACTTCAGACATCTTGTCTTGCTGTTTGTTATTGGGTACATTAGTTTAGCCCTTCGTGCTTGTTTAGTGTATACATTAAATTTAGTCCAAAATATTACTTCTGTGTACCCAATAAAAATTGATGCATGTGAGGAGTTTAAGGAAGACTTCTTTTTCATTCAACTTAAAGAGCTAGCCTTAGTGATACATTGGCTTAACTATTTACGTCTTCAGCTGATAAAGCAAAATGCGTCAAAAGTACGGTAGTAACTTCTACGAAGAACAAGACTGCTAATAAAGCAAACTTCGTCAAAAGTACGGTGGTAACTTCTACGGAGGGCAACAGTGGATTGTCAACTACTGCTACTATTGGAATTGCCCTTGGATGTTCCATTCCTGTTATAGCACTGGTGATCATCTTGCTAATTTTGGTAAGCCAAGTTTTTGATTCCATCAATTTGTTAAAAACGGGTTTGATGATGGATACCTTTAAATTCTAAGACGAGGACGATTACGAGGAGGAAATTTTCTCAATACTCGCACGCGTGTGAAACAGCATCATTTTGGTAGGCAAACGTGACAGCCGTCGACATTTTACTACGGGTTTAAATTGTTTTTAAGAGCGGCTCCCCGTAAATATCAACTAGACGAGGAAATAGTCAAAAAATGACCTGGCCTCAAACTCGGCCAGAATAAAGCCCTATGGGCCCTAGTTGCAAAATCGTTGGTTTAAGTACGATCGAGTGAATAATATTTTTTTTAACGAATTTTTTTCTTCCCGAGGCCTAAAATGGGCAAAAATCATGCGAAATTAGAGTCATATTCAGTAACTCGTAAATTTTAAAATAAAGTTGGCTACTAAAATATAATGACACTTCGTATTTTTACTGTCTTTCCTCTATAGTTTTAACTGATTAGTTCGCGATTTGGTCAACAAGAGATTTTTAAAGAAATTTTCAAAGTTGTTGACTCAAAATCGCTTAATCAACCGTCAAAATTTAGCACTTTTTCACGAGCTAAAAAAGCGGATTGGTACATGGCTTTGAACACCAAGGCTTGTTTAGTCTGAAAGAGCATTCTTTTTTCTTCAAATTAGCGAAATAAAATTTTTGGGTAAATGAAATCACGAGCGCTGACAAAGCCAAGCAAATGTAAATATTACACTAAAAACGGGCGAAAAAACGTGACCTCTGACCGAAGCACAACCAAATGCCAATTACGGTAGGCGCCAAACCTTTAATTATTCGGTAACTTCTTGAGACAATATTGGTCCGAAATGTGTATAGATTTTTTAAGTAAAGCTGAGTTAAAGTATTAAGTGTTAAAAAGTCCACAAAGCGTTAAAAAGTACAACAAAAGTCACGAGTAATCTGTTCCGTTTTCTGAATTTTACGCAGCGATTTATGCGATTTAACGAATTAACAATTTCTAATCCAACGATACCCACCTGAGACTGTTTTAGTATAAGAGTCCATAGAACTTCTCAGACGACTCCTCGGAAAGACCTCCAGAAGGAAATGAATGAAAAATTTGAACTTATAACTGTAACAATTTCACTTGCTGCAACGGCAAAACGAAAACAACTGTTGAAGTGCCACAGGCAAACCAGCTTTCAGTGGAGTCATGCAAAGCATGTCACGTCACGTAATTCTGCCCCGCGCATTTGGCAAGGAGGGAAGAAATTCTTCCATGCTCTGCACTAAAACATTTATGAAATAAAACAAGCTTTGGAATGTATCTTTTGCAACTAGTTATTGAAAAGAATAACTTTTTCCCCTGTTTTTGCTCGAGGGGCGCTGTGCACTTCTTTTATTTTATCTGCTGTTTATAATGATTGTGTTTCAAGTTCAGAACGAGCATCTATAGCTAGCAATTGGTGTGTTCGAATTTATGCTCCTATCAATGTTAATCACGTGGCGGGGGGGTGCGGGGATTTGATGCCTGAGACTATCCCCCTGTGGGGCTTTTGATCGTGCGAAGCGACCCCGGGGAGGGGAGGTTGACTTTGACCGATAGAAGCCTGGTATCAATTCAGAAGCGGTAACCAAGTCCGTCCCTCGAGGCTTTCTGAAAGTCGCGCTGTTGGAGAAAGTTATGAAGTTTTCATTTGTTTTAATCGCCATAATCCGATACTTTACATGTACACTGTCATCTAAACAGATATTTTGAGAAAGTTTTTATCTTCAAGTTCCCATCTGATTGTAAACATCGATTGAAATCGAACTCTACCATGAAAGTCAGAGGATTTTTTACAGGTCACTGATCCGACCTGTTCCGACATGTTGAGCCGATGTTATAAAGCATTTTACGTTTCATTAATATAATAGCACGGTCAATCTTCCTGGAGTGATTATGTTGTTCAAAATAAGAGATGCTAATGGAGAGAGAAAATACTTAATTATAGCGAGTAATTTTACGGAGCTTACGTTAACTTAAATAAAAGTAGTAAGAACGTACTTTTGAAATGTTCTTTCATTCATTTTATATAGTATTATAGTATTGTTTGTTTAGATTTTTCCCCTGGGGTGGGGGCTTTTTTGACACTTTTGATTGACCTTTCGTTTCCCACCCAGGGGAATTTGATCAAAAAATTTTAAAATTTGTCAAATCCCCACCCCTTGCCCGCACTCCCCCCCCCCTCCACGGGGTTTACATTGATAGGTGCATTTACCGAATGCTGTAGAAAGGATATCAAAGGGCACCAAAGCAGTGGCGGATCCAGGGGGTGGGTGCGGGGGGTCCGGACCCCCCATCAAATCCGATACTTGTTTGAGACTAAAATCCTTACAACGATAGGATTGCATGTCACTGTTTAACTGGCTGAATTTTTAATGAAACACGTGTTGTAATTTTCCACTTAACTAAATTCCAGGGATATTAAGAAATGTGATTGTAATTGGGTACCCTCCAATGATCTGTTCGCCTCTGCTCGCAAAGCAGTATTTCCCGCGCCACTGGCGACTGGCTTTCACAGATTGAGAAACAAGTAATCGTCTCTGCCTTCTTCAGTGACTAGTGGGAGGGGGTGTGGGGGAAAAGTAATTTGCCACAAAAAGGTTCAACAGTCCTTTCTGAACCAAAATTTGGACCTTTCCCCCCCCTCCCCAATGAAAAATTGCTGGATCTCCCCCTGCAAAGATGTTACTCTGAGTTCGGAGCCAATCAAGGCTTATGCTGGCGCGTGCAAGTAAATCATTTTTTTTCGAGTTAAGAGGCTCACTTGTAGGACGAAAAACAGTATAATTTTATTTATGTAATATCAAAATTGTGCCTGATCATGTGTATCCTATAGGAACAAGAGACATATTTGTTACGAGCCTTTCTAATCATTCGGTTTCCTGTGGTTCGGTGGTTCCTTGCGTTGAAACATCACGACTAAAAGCCAACAACAGGGAATGAGCTCTTCGGGAAGCCAGTGAACTAGTGGCCACATTCGGATCTCAAAAAAAGATTTGGACTAGTTGAAAGGACAAAATCGAAGGAACTGATCGGCGAAAAGAGAAAAGAAAGCCAGTAAAAACAAACGAAAACACATGACATCATTTTTTCCGATATTAGTCGGTTTGGAACACAAACCTTTGCTAGATTCTATGGTATTTTTTCTCGTTCCTTTTTTTTCTAGTTCTGTTTGGTCACATGAACCGTGATGTCAGCTTTTTAGGTTAAGATAACCATGTTTAGGCTGTTGTGGACATGTCTCATATTATCTCAGTCGTCACAGATGAAACCTTTATTACACTTGGGTTCAAATGTTATTACGGATAGACCTTTATTACACTTGGGTCCAGTTATTACATTTGTGCCTTCCACAAGTTTCACTGACAAGAAATCCGGATCCCTGTAGTGAATTTGGCCTAAGAGGCAACCAAACATTTAGCCTCCTTGGTGGCATTTTCAGGGGAGTCATATTTTCTCATTTATACCAGTCTGTAAATAAAGCGAAGGTCAAATGAGAAAATTGAGGCTAACGTTGTTGAGATCAAAGATGAAAAAAAAAAAAAATCCCACTGTTCGTTTGTAGGGATGCTCACCAAGTCCAAGATTATATCGGCGGAAGAGACACCTTTGCCCTCAAGCGAGGGCAGAAATGAAACAGTCCAAAGCTAGATTTGTTTCATAAATGTTTTAGGGCACAGCGTGGAAGAATTTCTTCCCTCCTTGCCAAATGCGCGGGGCAGAATTACGTGACGTGACATGCTTTGCATGACTCCACTGAAAGCTGGTTTGCCTGTGGCAGTTCGACAGTTGTTTTTCGTTCATTGCCGTGGCGGCAAGTGAAATTGTTACAGTTATAAGTTCAAATTCTTCATTCATTTCCTTCTGGCGGTCTTTCCGAGGAATCGTCTGAGAAGTTCTATGGACTCTTAAACTAACACAGTCTCAGGTGGGTATCGTTGGTTTAAAAATTGTTAATTCGTTAAATCGCATAAATCGCTGCGTAAAATTCAGAAAACGGAACAGATTACT